GAACCCCCCCCCCCCCCCCCCCCTCCAGATTGGGGATGATCGCACCACGTTGTAATGGTGGTCGAGTAGATCATGTTGTGCGGGGTGGAGAACCCTCACTCCGCGCAACGGGGGGATGATCGCACCACGTTGTGTTAAAATGGTCAAGCATCCTCGAGGCAGTTACACAGTACTTACAACTGTTTCTCGAAGTGAAAGCACCAGAAAATAAATTAAGTCATACGTAGCTGTCATCCGTACGCAAGGAAGTAAGCACAAGATGCCGAACACCCTTAGCAGGATGCAGCGCACCCTTCATGCGACTCGCCAAATACCTCACGGCGCTTCGCGCTTGGTGATGTGAGAGCCTGGTCCGGTGAGAACCCGGCGTGCTCCGTCCCGGCTTTGTAGGGATGCGAGGTCAATGGTCTAACGACTACGGTATGCACGACTATGAGTACACCCCCCCCCCCTCCAGACTGCGGAAACGATACTAGTACCGGATGCTGGCTCCTGTGCCACGCAGAGCACGCATTCGACGTAGCTCGTCTATCTGTCGAAACGAATGCTTCGTGAATGGCAAGTCTTTGGTCTCTACCATCACGCACGTATTTTTTTATTAGCTTCCGGTCATGTAGCCCCTTTAGGGTGCGACCATCGCTCTCTCTTTTATTCCTACTCGATTCACCAAATTTGTGTTGGCCTCTCGACAAGGTGGTTGCATTACTTTTGCGGGTGGGACAGGCCAGTGCCCTCCACTCCACTACCTCTTCCACCCCTCCCACGCGCGCTCTCGTTTCCTGTCTGCCCCAAACAACTCCGATTCCAACCCTGTCCGCCGTTCCCACCATTACGATCGGGGAAACGCATAAGGTCCGCCGCTGCCGACTCCAGTGCCACGTCGAGACACAAACCCCTACGACAAACCGAGACAACGGGTTGTCGTATCATGGGGTTTTGTGTCTCGACGTGGAACTGGGGTTATCAGCGGGGGTCCGGTGCGTTTCCCCGATGGTATGTGAGAAGGATTTTGTGTCGGAGTTGGAGTCGGCGTCGGCAGCCGCGGTGCTGCTGCTGCTGCTGAAGCCGAAAGGTGGTTGTCTAACCTATTCAATCAACCCCGCCGAAAAAATTGGAGGATCTCCACGCACTGATCCGCACGACCCCCAGGGCCTCCGTGTCGGCTCTCCTTGACTCGGCTATCTTCTACACGGAGGAGTCAGTCATCGCTGTCAACCGATCACGGAGGCTCTGGGGGGTCGTGCGGATCAGTGCGTGGAGACCCTCCATTTTTTCGGCGGGGTTGATTGAATAGGTTGGAGCAAGCATCATCATTTGGCTTCAGCAGCAGCGGCGGTGCGGTCCGTTTTTTTCCCCTGGTAGCCGAGAATGACGTGGTGTCGGAGTTAGCATCGGAGTGGGCGCGGGAGTCGGCGGTGCTGGTGCTGTTGCTGCTACTGCTGTTGCTGCTACTGCTCAAGCCTGTGATCATACTTATAGCCTTTTCAACCCCGCCTGAACCTCAGGAGGATGCGCACGCGCTGGTCCGCACGGCCCCCGGTGCCACGGCCAGGGCACACTACCACTCGGCCATGTACTACACCGACTCCTCGGTGATGGTTGTACGTGAGAGCAAGAGCAAGAACGGCAACAACAGCGCCAAGTCCAACACCGATACCGGCACCACCGACACCTCCAACAGCGACACCGACAGTACACGCCGGTCCCTTCGCGTCGTCGATGACGTCCCGCTCTCCACTCTGCACTCGTGCGACGAGCTCCGGTCCAAGCGAACGCGCGTCCAAGGCGTGGCTGGCGCGCTTCTCCTGGACTTCGACATCGTGTGCCCGGAGAAAAGGGTGAGCGAGCGTGTACAGTATTGGTTTTGCAACGCTGTGTTGTTGTTGTTGTCCCATTCCCCACGACCCTTGAGTGCGGTGGCAACGTCTTTCTTCTCGTCTCTCTTCGTTTCTTTCTTTTATCTGCCTCTCTCTCTCCCTCTCTCTTTCGTCCACGCCTTTGGAGTTTTCCGAGAGACGAGCTGGGGTGTAGGTAGATAAGTATACATCGTTCCAGAGTGCCCGCCCAGTATTGACATCGAGTACATATCCAACCATTTAAAACATGAGTGGCGTTCGTCCCTTGTCCAATGTGGTCCCCTGTCCCCTGCTGGGTCGCCTTTGCACTCTGCCTGAATACCGCAGGTGCTGGAAGTCACAGACAATCTGCTCATCATGTCCAACAAGCCCGACCTGCGCCTCAAGGGCGTGCACTTCCGTGTACGGAAGAAGGCCGCCTTGACATTCATGGTGCCCACGTTGACGCTGGAAAAACTCGAGGTGCGCACGTGCTTGAGGAATCTGGAGGTGCTTTTGCTTGCGGGAATACCGGAAAGCTTGGCATGGGGTGTATCGGTAGCGGTGTTGCGGGGATCCTTCAGTTTTGTTATTTGCATGTGGTGAAAGATGTTATGTATGTTTGGGTACAAAAACGTCTGAACGTCTCACTCAGGGGGGCGGGGCACCCCTCCCTCGCGTACTGGTGAAAAACAAGTTTCGACTTCGTGGGATTGTTCCTTGCCGTGTTGGTTAATCCCAACCGTTTGGACTCACAGTGGCAGAGCGGTATGCCCACCGGGTTCTCTCCCTCTTCCCTCTCTTCTTTCCGAGAAAACCCAGGAAAAAAAGTGGGAACTATGAGGCAGGTAGGAAGAAAGCAACACAGAGAGGGGGGGGCTGGCTGTGTTTTTTTTTTTTTTTTGCTGGTGGTGGCGATAGCGAGGTTGCTTGTCCACGACAGAACGAAACGTTCCTCAGACGAAGCTTAAGTGTTGCTGTTCTTTCCGCCGCGCAGGGGGTATCCGGACCGCTCTTCACCATCGAACCTCAAGGTTCCGTGGAAATGAATGCAGACCAGTGGGTCCCACCGCCCGAGAATGGAACGGAGGTAAGCACAGGGCGTTATGTTGGCAGCAATGCTTCTTGCTTGTTGTTTCTGTCAATAATGATGCTTCGGCTTTGTGGTTGTCGCTCTGTTGCAGGCACTTGTGGCACCGGTTTTTTCCAGACAGGTCGCATGTTTCGGTGTTTTTGGTCGTCTTCACAAGCTGACATCGGCCAAACAATTGCAATTTTTCACGCGTTGCAGTGATCGCCATCGCCCTTGTGATGTGGGTTCATGAGCGAGTTCATAACCCCTCCGACCGTATTCAGCCCCTGTTGGCAGGGGCGTCACTGGATGTTCTGAGTTCGCCCATCACATACAAGAAGGGTTTCACTGAGCTTGCAGACCAGACGACCCACAACCATCTCACCCCCCCCACCCTTCTCTTACCCCGGTTCCCTTAATTCTGTATTCTTCCTCCCTCCGCTCTCGATGCCAATCACCGGGCGAAGGAGGACGTATTCTCTCTCGTCGCCGTAAAGAAGGGGGCAAGCTTCGAGCTGGAAGAAGGCCACGCCCGCTACAAGGCCTCGACCATCACGTTCTTCATGCAGCAGCAGCAGCAGCAGCAGCAGCAGCAGCAGCAGCAGAACGACAACATTGACAACGACAAGCTGGGCAATTCACGATCCACCGCCGTGGAGCCCCCCCATTCCACTGCCGACATCATCGAGAAGCAGCAGCAGCAGCAGCAGCAGCAGGACAACAGCAACAACCCGAGCATGTCACGATCCACCGCGGAGCCCCTCCATTCCACTGCTGATACCAACGAGCAGCAGCGGCAGCAGCAGCAGCAAAAGGGCGACGTTCTCCCTCAGCACCCCCAGAGCGGGGACAACAACAACAACAATAACAACAACAACAATCCCCCCCTTACCGCCAGCGGTGATGCCGACTCCTACCGTGGCAACACGAACATGCACACGAAGGAAAAGATAAGGGCCATGAGGGACCGTCTTCCCTACAGCTCCTCGGATCGTCCCCCCACCACGACCATCTACTCGTGCGAGCAGTTCCCCTTCGACCGCAACCCCGTAGTGGGCGTCCTGATCATCGAGGGCAACATCGTCTGCAAGAATAAGCGGGTGAGATGGTGCTCTAGTGTTGTCCTCCGTTAACATGCATGCTTCAGAAGAGCGTGGGTATTGCGACCCCCCTTCCGAATCCCGCGTTCTTTCCGGGGTCCCTTGTGCAGTACGTACGGGACACGTGTGGCACAGAGAATTTTGACTTCACGGGAGTACCGTGTTTTATGATATGAACGTTGACATAACTGGCTCATCAATCCCCACCCCCATGAGTACACCGCCTCACTGTTGGATTACATTAAATTTCTTGTTTTCTCCGCAATGATTAAGAGGAGAATGGCAATCGTTGCCCAGACGCGGAAAGGGTGGTATTGGTACACTTGAGCGGAATGATACCTCCGTAGCAACGCCTACTCTATAGAAGCATCGGACCAGCGTTAGCAACGACTCATCGTCTCTTTTGCCGTGTTTTCCTTTGCCGTCCTTTTCCCGCTGCGGCTCATCGATAACAACCAATGCCTCAGACGCTAGTAGTGAGCGAGCGAGCTTACCTCTTCTCGCATATGGACGAAGTGCACCTCGAGGGCGTCCACTTTATCGTGGAGGAGAACGCCGCCCTGGGCATCGCCGTGGCCACGCTGCACGTGGAGAAGCTCGAGGTATGGTCATTGGTGGGTCTGTGTGTGTCGTCTCGTCTTGTGTAGGTTGGGTTCGTGAGTGTATAGTCTGAGCGTGCGAGAACGTCACGACGAAAAGCAGAGGGAGGGAGGGGGGGGGGGGGAGATGGCCGCATTCTCCATCCCGAAAGAACGGGGTCAGCTTCGAAGTTGTATTGTGGAGGCATGGTAGTCTTTTGGCGGCAAGAAACACGATCGAAAACAACCGCGGTGTCCTGGAGGGAGGTTGCAGCATCCATCGTGTATCGTCTGTCATGGGAGTGAGCTCGTAGACGATTCCTCATGTTGCTGGTGATGTTGGCACCGTTGTTCCTATTGCTGGAGGCGGCGGCAACCATGGTGATGCCACTTCTTTCTGTTGTTGTGACTGCAATGAACCGATGTTATTGTTGTTGTTGCTGTTGCTGCTGCTGCTGTTGCTGCTGTTGTGTCCTTCCTCACCGTTCAGGGAGACTCCGGCGAGATCTTCACCATCGATCCAGGAGGGTTTCTGGGCGGGCACGCCGATCATTTGCGCCCGTTGCCTGAGAACGGCACCAAGGTGGGAACGGTGTCGTGTTGATACGATACGATGTTGTTATTCTTGTTTTGATGTTGTCCAATCGTTATGTCGTAGTTATGGCAATGTCGCTGTTTTCACCATTATACTACACGACTCCATTGCTTTGCGGGGTTGGTGTTTAGTGCCAACAGGCCGCTAACGTGTACCCCCCCCCCCGCCGTTCATGCTGTTGGACACAATTCCTGACAGGATGTCGCATGATTGATATTGTTTTCCCACCACTCCGTTGAAGCCTAGGGGAGATGAAAATTATCCCTCGCGCACGTTGATTCCACGCCGACCTTTTAAGTCAGATCAACCCCCCGTCAAGCTTGAACACCTGCTTGGAAGACGAAGATGTCGAGAGGGTCGTGTGTGATAAATACACTGTTCTTGGCACGACACGTCAGCTCTCTTCTAGGCCTACAAACAACAGCAACGTCACCCGACGGTTTTTCCGTCGATGGCGTGGCCCAACCAATAACAACCTTCGACCATATACTTGCTATATTAGGGCCCTTCCTCGCTCTCTCCCCCCCCCCTCTCATTGTTTCTCGTCCCCGCGCTGTCTCCGTCTCTGCCACGACCCGAACCGCCACAGAAGGACGAGCACTCGCTGCTGCACGCAAAAGAGGGAGGCGAGTTTCATTTGGAAGCCCTGGTCCTGTACACATCCTCCTCCATCACGATGGTCACGGAGCCTGTCATCGAGGATCCGGCCTGGATAAGGCTGCAACGCCTCCGCCGGCGGTGGATTGAACGGCACTTCCAGCTTCACCAGCAGCAGGGGAAGCAGCAGCAGCAGCAGCAGCAACAGCAACAGCAGATGAAACACGATGGAGGCCAGAGCGCTTGCACAGCAGCCGCTTCTCTGACGTGTGGACCAAACCAGTCCCCCTTCTCGCCGGACAGATCCGCCGAGTACACCTACGAGCAGCGGTTGGGCTTGAACCCGACCCACCTCATGGTGAGGACAAGGAATGAATGTCTGATGGGTTAGAGTTTTTGAGAACGGCCGCTGGCTGTAGGAGTTCCTGAGCCTGACGAGCGCAGAGCAGCAAATGCTGGTGTTGGCTTGGGCTCTCAATGGAACCCCCCCCAACAAAACTTCAGAAGATGAGGAACTCCATCCTTTCATCCCTATCGTATCGTATCGTATCGAGGGGGGGTCGTCGGTGTGCGATCTTCTGACTCGGCAACCCCTCAAGGTTGCCATTATTTGAGGAGGTTGCGTGTATCCCCGCGAGGTTGGCAGCCTTTGGGGCAGGGAGGGGACAAGGTGGTGTGCCAGGGTGGAGGAGTGTATTTAAAGCTGCCGATCGACGTTCATTTCGTACCGGGACTTAGTACAGCTGCGGCCGTGGGATCATGAGCAAGGGTTGGCTGTTGTCCCTGTCTGAAGATTCTCTGCAATATTCCCGGCATTTGTCACTTCATGTTGTCCTTGAAAAATGGTATATTTTGCTTCTATTTTGTGTTCGTCTCCTGACCACCTCTCACCACGCCACCGATTGTACCTGTTTTAGTCTTGTCCATCCCGTGGGACCTCCGATAGCGCGACCGTTTTGTGTAACAGCAGAAACATGGGCAGGAACAAAATTCCTGCTGTCTCTGTTGTTTGTGAGAAACATGTCGAGGATGGTGTCGTTGTGAATCGGTTCTCCGTCGATTGGTATGCCTACGTGT